CAAGGGGCTAATTTATGCCCGAGGTTATCTGCATTCCCTTGGCTTGTAAAAAGCGGGAGAAGTGGTGCTAGTTATGGCTCGAAGAGGACCGCGGATGATCTGACCACACTGAGAGGGCACAGTGTATGCGACTTCCGCGGCTGACCAAGGTTGAAGCCGCCCGGGACGTTACGTGGCTCCCAGCGGCGGAACTGGCAGACGCCATTCTCGCAAGGCAGATGTGTGCCGGACTTCCGTCAACAGCTTCATGGGAAGGCTAGCAGCGCCCGTTGGATCGACAGTCAGTGATGGTTGAGCCATTCTTCTAGAAATTCCGCCCGACTCCACCGGGACGGCCATTCAGAGCCCTTAATCTTACTCGGGCTGGTGGTGGGCTCCATACTGGGGCCACCAAAAGCGTACCGAATGCCTCAGACTCGTCCGGGATGACATCATCCGCTCCTAGCTTGGCGAGGCGTAACTGAAGAAGGTGGATACGAGGCCACGGATGATTTGCCCGGGCACCCGGGTGGGTGGAGGGCAGCGGTGCTGGAGCGCCTGAGATGGAGCAGGAAAGTCATACAATGTCGGCTGTTGAGACCGGACTAATGAAAGGCCCTTCAGACTAAGGCTATTAGTATTTAGTACACACGGTAAGTAAAAGTAATTCGTGAGGGGAGTCTGCCTCTTGACACCACAGACGGAAGATGGCAGAGGGGGGCAGGCAGGCAGAGAGAGTGGGACTGACATAGGTTTGGGGTGTGTGCCATACTGGAACTGCCGTCATCTTCAGCTGGGAATCACCGACAATGCTTTGGAAGGGTTGACGGAAATGGCAGGAGAGTAAGAACCCGTGATACCAATGGGACGCCCAATGACCAAAGGAGAGACAAAGAAAAGCGAGATCATGATGGACATGATGGGATATGAATTGGGGAGGGGAGAGATGCTCCATCCCCAATTAGTCCAATTCCTTACTAAATCGAAGAATGGGGCGGGCTGCTGAGATAAGCAGTTGCGGCTCCTGCCCGAAAACCAGCGATTGCGAATCCGTGGTTGGCCAACTGCCATTTCCACAGTTCTGACTAGTAGCATCTACTCACTACTTTCTTTCCCTTCTCTCTTCTTCTTTTCTGTCTTGGTCTTACACTACTGCATTATTGTATATCAGACAACAATAATTTTGGAGTTCACTGCTCCGGACAACTACCCACGGCTGAGTACTACAAGTGGGGATACTTCCTTGGGTGTGTTTCGGAACAAAACTGCTTGGAAATCCGTGTGCTTCGGATTGGTTTCTGGTGCTTTTTCTTTTCCCCTCCGCGCATCTTGCGTCACACGTTCTCCGCCTCGGATTCTTGAAGATCGCTTCGTCTTCATCTCTCATCTTCACAATACTCAATCTATCTTCCCTTCTCTCCCCCCGCACGAGTGGAATCTCTGGCACTTGCTCTGATCCTTTCATCTCAATCTAACCCCCCTTCTCCTGAAATCCACTGTCCATTGTTTGGTTCCATCAATCAGTGAGCACCATCCCCTTCAAATATCGCCGTCTGTTCCCCCCTCCGGTTGGTCTGTCCTTTCGGGCATCGGCCTGTCAATCGCTGTCAAATTCATCCCTTCCTTTTCTTTTTCTTCCTTTCTTTTTTTCTTGTCTCCATCGTTGCCCCTCCCCCTTGCCTATCACGGGGTCGTTTTGCCCCTCTGGCATTATTTCTCTTTATCATCTACTGCTCATCTCGTCGGGTGCCTGAACGGCTTTTCACCCAACCACCCCACAGACTTTTTTTTTTTTTTTTATCTTCTCAGAAAGTCTGCCTATTCATCCGCTTCTCTTATCCAAGTCCTCTTTTACTTGACCTTTCTGCCCTCACTGCAAGCCCACCCCAAGAACCTTCTGCGGAGCTTCTTGGGACGTCTTGCGCTGTGCTAACCCCACATTTCCTCGGTCGGAAATAGCACTTCGCAGTCCATTGTTAATCTCACGTATCTGCAAGGGTTCAGGATGGGTCCCGCTGCGCGTTACCGACCCATGTCTCCCAGCGGATCGCGTATGATCGATCCTATGCGGGCCTCCACCGGCACCGTGCAGCTCAGTGCTTCCTACGATCCCTACCACCTCTCTGCCGGCCGTCCGCCATACCCGGGTTACCATGCCGATGTCAACTACGCTTCTTCCTACGAACCTCGCCTGGTGCGAGAACCCCGATTGGAAGCACAACCCATTTCTTCCACTACATATCGAGACCCCGGCCATTCCACCAAGTTAAGGACGGAGTATGCCATCCGCCCGCGAGTGCGGAGCAGCACCATGTCCGCGGTGGATCCTCGCTATTCCTCCGGCCGTTATGACACACCCGCATCGCCCTTGTCCCGGGCTTCCCCTGTCATTGTCCCCGGCCACCAGCGAACCCCTAGCCCGCGTCGAGACCATGACCGTTACGTTGTACCGGCCTCCTCGCACCGACCCCACCGGCGGCATCATCTCTCACACACTGATTATGCCAGCGATACTGGGCACTTAGACCCTCATGAGGGAGCATCAAGGTCGCGAGTGCCTCATGGGGGATATCCGGTGTACGAGCACAGCCCTCGTCTGCGGTATCCCCCAACTGGAGGTCTCCGGAAAGGCGAGGATATTGACGACTACGATGCGTATTCATATACCAATGCATCGGAGCAGATGGAGAAAGACTCACTTGCTAGGCTGCGCTATGAGCGAGGGGCTTATCCAAGGAACAGGCCACTTAGTCTGACCGGCCTTGACGACCCTCACTTGCTGCCTCGCAAGGAGTCACGAGCTGTCGGGCCTCCTCCGTCTCAGAGAGGCTTTGACAAATTGGACCAAGGCAGCCGTGTGCGGCGTTCCACACACGGCTCCGCTGACAGTGATGTAGATCTGGCGAGCGCCAGGCGGCGATCCTGGCAGAGGGCCCCCGTATCCTTGCACCAGGATGTCGACGAAGGTTACTCTTCTTATAGAGATGAGTACGACCCTGGTCACCATCGGCGACATCGGCGACATGATGACGATACGAGTAGCCGGCACTCCTACGATGACCGTGCTTCAAGGCGAACCTCTGCTAAGAGCGCTGTCGCAGCTTCGGGGTCGAGTACGGGCCTAGGGACTGCAGTACTCGCCAGCGGTTACTCGGACGATTTTGACTATGATCTCTCCCCCCGGCCCGACCGCCATCGCTCCCGGGACCGGAGCGCTCGGGACCCGGAGTATAGAAGGCATCACAGTCGGTCGCGCAGACCGTCTAGACGTCGCTCAGGAAGCGAGTCTGATGAGCATACCTCGGATGAAGACCTGAAGAAATACCGACGCGAGCCATCGGCGCACAGGAAGCCTGATGGCTCGGACGTCTCAGCCAGTGGCAGCGAGCGACTGTCCCCCTATTTGACAGTCGATCGCGCCCGTCGCCGGCGGTCTCACTCTCGTCATCGAAGCGAAGATTTGCCGCGCCTCAAAGAAGCAGATGCCAGCCGCCCAGACGAGCTGAAGAAGTCTGAGCAGGCCACGTCGAAGGAGCAGGACCCACCTGCACCCAAAGGCATCCTGAAGCCTCCCCGTGAGAAGTTTCCGGAAGAGCCCAATCCCGTTCGAGAAGGCGTGGCCCCATTGAAAGATGCGCACAAGAAGGGCATCCCTCCGGGCGCCCGGTGGACGAAGATAGACCGACGACTTGTGAACCCTGCTGCCTTGGAGCTTGGCCGAGAGCGGTATGAGGAGCGAGCGGAGTATGTGATCGTTCTGCGAGTCTTGACCAAGGAGGAAATTCAGGCGTATGCGGTCAAGACGCAGGAAATTCGAGGTATGTTCCCAAAGATCCATGGCCCACAATGCATACTAATCAGGTGTGTAGATGCTCGCTGGCAAGAGATTATCAAGGAGCGCCGTCGACGTCGGGAGGAGGACCGTCGCCACGGGCGTAGAGTGGACAGTTCCTCGAGCGACGATGAAGACGAGGATGACGAAAATGCGACTCCTCTTGCCATCGAGGGTGCGCCTGACGCTAAATCGGGGTCGAAGACCGCGACTGAACCCGTCAAAGCCGCAGCGTGATCATATTCTTCCTGCGCAATCTTTTTGTTCCATTATTTGTTTTTTGTTTATTTGGGTTATTTCAGTTTCAATACCTCTATTGTTCACGTGATTACATGCTGGTCCAGATCACGAGCTGGGAGGAATAGAATGAGTGTACAACAGCGGACCGGCGTTGCTCGGGATTGAAGGAACAGGAATGTATGGATCAAGGCAGTGCCTATTAGACGCAACGACCTGGATGCACGCGCAATCAAACATGTCAAGCAATTACAATTGGAAGCGTTTGAATTACAGCTGGTTCTACGGCATGTCGTGTACACAGTACAGAGTAAATAGTGAGTAGTATGTGAGTGTGTGTACCACTTCATCCACACCTTTGGAAAAGGACAAGAAAAGACAGAAGAAAGGTAACTCTCTCACTCACTAGCGCGAAATGTCTGTGGCAATGCGCGACTTCCCAAAACAGAGAAAGAAAAGAAATTAAAGAGACTCCAAACGGTCTTCTGACTCCGTCCCAGCCCTGGTTACACTTCGTCCTACCCGAGCCTCCTTCCTCAGTGGCTGATCCAACATTTTCTGCGCGTGTTCAAGGAAATCTACAGACCAGACAAACTTCTCCCACCTCATCATTCATGTCTTGTGTGACCCTCTTACTCTCTTCCGGATTGGGTATCATTCTCTCGGTGCCCAGAGTAGCCCTCAGGTCTTCACTCTTCGCCCTGTTTGTTCTGTTCTGTTGTGCGTTGTGTATTGTTTGCTGTGGCAAGCCTTCTTCTATTCCTACTGGTTGAATAGCTGATGGTTCCTCGACTGTCTACCTGCTGTGTGGCGTAGCTACTTGTATGTGTATGTGTATCATTCCTTCTTTTTCCCTTTCCACTTTCCCCTACTTTTTTGGTAAATCCAGTCAGCGACTTGCCGCCATCTAAAGCCATAATACTGTAGATGTAGAGAGATGCATAGGTACGAAGCATGTCGAGTCGGACTGGAAATGAAAGGAGTTGGAAGGCAAGCCCTCTCTCTTTCTTCCGTCTGGATTCGAATCGGGCTCTTTGGTTCTGCGTTTACGTCCATCTGCTTGTTTCCCGCTAGACATGCGAGCCAATGAACTGGTGTATGTGGAAATGAAGCATGACGAACCTGCGTGGGGTGGGGTATAGTCGGGTTGGTCTATGACCAATACCAATACTTGGAGTTTCTCTTTTTCTGGCTCTATGAAGTATAGTAGGAAGAATTAGCTTTTGTGTGTGGGTGTGTGCTGTTGTTACATTGGTGGGAAGAGATAGTTTGGAAGCAAAGCATCATAGTGCACTAGAAGGGATATTCGACCAGGTACAAGTACTGGTAAGGACTCATGGTAGTCTTTCTGTGTTCTGGATCTGGTTTCCGGGTGACTGTTGAATGTTCTTTCGTTGACCTTCTGATTACTTGTGTGCTTTGCCTTTAGGTCTCAGGTACTCAGTAGTATAGATGGCGATGTATGATTTGCGTGTTAAGGTATATGTCATGTCGTTGCCACCTGGTAAATGATTGGGGAGAGGATCGCAGGAATCGGAAAATATAGGGCGAATGGGTAATTAAATGGATGGATGGTATCTGTTTCCCTGAAGTAACCTGTCTATCTATCTGTCATATGTACCTACATCCTTCAACTGGACAATGCATGCCCACTCTTCTACCCATCACAGATAGCTAGATACATTATCTAGATAGACAGACAGGAAAAAAAGCACAATCAGCCAACTCGCTCCCTCTATTCAGTACTCAATAAAGAGCAAGCAATCTAAGTAAGTAAGTGTATACGTACCTCAACCCAACCCAAACCCAATAACCCGCCTTGACTCCCACATAATAGATATTAATACCATATAATATGATCTCAGTGGCGTCTCATTTTTCTCCGCCGAATAAAGCCCTCCCAAGGCAACCGAGCAATCAAACAATCAAGCGGGCGGCGCCTCATCTCACTCCCCAACCAAACCAATCCAGTCAGCTTAGTAGCCCCGTCTCAACCAGTTCAGATAAGGCTGGTTTCCGTGTTTCTCCTTATGTTCTCTTTGGGGAAGGGTAAGGAGGCAACGTCCCATTATCGGAGAAGGGAATAACTGGGACAAGTGCAAAATCAAAACAAGTAACGGGGTTGGGTGATTGACCTTTTGTGATTTCCGGCTGGCTTGGATGGGCGGGATGGAGAAAGAACGGGTGGAACGAGAGTGAAGGTTTATTTGCCTGCTTGGGTGCTCTCTTGCGTGGGAGAATGGGCAGGAACTAAAAGAGGAGAGGAGAGGAGAGTGCGTATGTAGATAGGTAGGATTAACAGCCAGTGTGCTGTGTGGTTTTAAAGCCCCTAGAGGAAATTAGGAAGGTAGGTAAGTCGTAAGGCCCAAGGTTGCCTCTGTCTGCCTTGTGGGGTGATGAGGGGGCGTATGGTAGTATATGGTAGACAGTAAGTTAGTATGCCTCACTCTATAGTGAGTGGTCTAGTATCTAGTTGAATTTATTTAATCTTCTAGGGAGAGAAGTGTTGGACGAGGACATCATCTCATAGGTTGGTGAGTCATATTGGGATGGGATGATCATTTAATTAGTGACATAATAAGTGAGTGACATCCACCGTAAGGCTCTCTCCTATATACATGGGTAGGATAGGATAGTTCTACTATTACTAGACTACCACACATATACATAATCTATCTGGATATGAGCATGTGATATGTGACTGGGTACGTAGGGCTGCTGCTACAACTACTTCAAAAAGTAAGACGCGAATGAGCATCTCGAATCAGAGTACTCCGTATAGCTGCGAACTCCGGACTAATTTCACCATCAAAGTATATATCCTGGTACCAATACCTACAGTCACTAACAAACCCTGTCTTGCATCGGGAAAACGTAAGCAAGCAAGCAAGCCAGTAAAACCGTTCCAACGCTTCTGCATCATTGTTCCTTTGGCAGCGACAAAAAAGAGCGCATGTCGTCCCGAGTCACCCGAGTTAAAGTTTCCGCTGCGCCAGATTGAGTTTCTGAAAAGGATAAGGAAAGTAAGGGTAAGAAGGTTGATTTGCTTTGTTTCGTGTGCTCGGATATGCCATGCCATGCTATGTCAGGTACGCACTGCCGTATGATTTGTATGTATGTATGTATGTATTTGGTTTACGAACTACGGAGTATTCCAAGGTCAGTAGTGAATACCACATAGTAGTAGTCGTAGTAGTAGTATTGTCTGGTCTAGATGGGGTGATACAAATCCCCTAGTGTCCTCTAACTACCGATTTGGCTAGCTAGCTAGCCAGCCAGCTAGCGATCAATATATATATTCCATCTTGAATGGAGGATCTAGACAGGCGTCTATGGATGTATGCTATAAGCGAAAATGTAATTTCCACTACTAATAATACCTCACCAGTCAGCTACACATAAGGGATGATGATGAGCAACGAAAAAATAAGAAAAAGGCTCGGGAAAATCCACATCGACAGGATAGCCGACAATCACCCGTTACTAGCTGCCGTCAGTGCGTGGGAAGGAGAAAAAAAAAAAGAAAATGGAAAGGGAAGGGCGAAGAGGAGAAGGGAAATTAGACAAAGAAGCTCTCTCTCACAGCCACTTCATTTCACCCCCTCCCTACAAGCTTAGTACATAGCTAGACTCACCACCAACTATCTAACTAACTACGTACTAGATAGGTTTAAGTCCACCTTAGTTAGTGGTCTAGGTTACATACCTATCGTCGCGCACGAAAAATTAAAAAATTTGAGGGGAAAAAGAAAAAGAAAATTAACCAACGGCCACGAATCACAGCACGTCAATTTAATTAAGACCTACATGCCCTATGTACCTAGTCATGCAGGCTGTCAGGCCGGAGGAGAGGAGGGGTGAGTGAGTGGTATTGTGCGTGGACACGAAAATATGTGTGCGTGTGTGTGATAGCCTACGGATAGTTAGTTAGTGTTAGTTTAGTTCGAGAGTATCCGTAAGATGAATCAATCCATTTTCATTTTCATTTCCTTTTCTTTCCCCTCTCCATCATCTCCCCCCCCCTCTGATCAACAGTCCCGCCTGGACCCGGCGTGACATCCTTCTGTTTGTGATCATGATGTGTGTGTGATTACTTGGCTAAAAATATCCTCTCATCATCTACTAGCTGAATAGTCCCAACCATCTACTACTTAGCGAGGAAAAAAAAAAGTAAAACTAGTTAGTTTACCTATTGACCAGTTCACTTGCACACACACATACACATCCAGACTCCTATTCTTTGTTGTTCGATGTTGCTCCATCTTCGCCGTCGGATGGTGGGGCCGGACACCCGACAACCACCACCACGACTAAACATAACAGGTTGCCTTTTAGCCCGGATGGAATGTCGTTGGGCCACTGGCTGGCTGTTGCGCCGGCCCTTAGGGCTCAGATCACATGTTTTCTGTTTCTTGTTCTTTACTTTACCGGACTAAAATCTGACAATCACTGTGTATTCATGTCCGGTATTGTATTGTTTGTTTGTTTGTTACCATATTTCACTCCCATGAGAAAGGGAAGTGGGAGAATTAGTATACTAGGTCGTAATAGGTAAAAAGATAGAGGACCTTCTCTCACTCACACTCAACGCCAAATAAGAATCAGAGGAAACTGTCTACATGTAAGGTGAAATAGTTAGGCTGAATCCTCCATCAACCACTTACGTATGTCCAATTTAACGCGGAGATTGTTGCTTGCTTGCTTCATAACCGCCCGACGGGATAATCCCATCGGGAACTAATCTGGAAGCCTAGATCTCAGTCCCGGTTTCAGTTTGTTGTGGCGAGGGAGGAAGCAAACAATATCATCCATGGGATGCACTTAACTCAGTGAAATCAAGGGTTATACTTATTCTAAAGTACTATAACTGCAACGATGAGCAATAAAGAGAAGCAATTACTTCTATAGATTGATTTGAAAAAAATACGTAGTCCCCATATAACAAGCTATATACGGTGTAAATCAACCAAGCACTCTACGGGCGGCTCCGTAGATGTCAAAACCCGAGCTCGTCATTCCATCCGTCCGCTTGCTTGCTTGCTTGCTTGCCCGGTGCGGAGAAAATAACCCCCTCCTGTCATCTCCTCTCCTCTGTATTCTGTTGTGCGTGGTTGGACAAGGTTGAATACTATCGGGGTGTCTGGATTGGAGGAAAGGGAGGAATTACATAAGGGGTGGGAGGGGGAATTCAGTAGGGATCGGCGTGTAGGGTGACATTCGTGGGAGTTTGATTGTTTGATCGATGGTATGTATGTATTGGTTTGGGTATTAGTGTTACGATGTTTTGTTTGGTGGTTTTGATTTCATGGGTGAATTGGATTGATTAGCTAGGGGATTTTATTCGAAGTAACCACCTGTATGAGGTTAAAAGTATAGCCTTATCAATTGGCCGACCATGGCTTCTCCTATTTATCTGGGCATCTATATGTGTGGTAGGATGAAACAAATGAGGATGTCCGGCCGAAGTATCTTCCCCAGATACAGAGAATACCTGCGGAGTACTATGCAATACATACAGATGTATAACTCGGCGTTAGGACCCCAGCACTGTGCAGCCACCTCACAGGAAGTCTGGTTAGTGACAGCACGCATACATACATACACGTTACCTACTTAGCTACATACATCCGGTGTAAGCCCACGGTCGAATATCGGACATTTAAGCTTCCCGAACTCAAAGAAAGGAATGCAACTATATTATCTACTATGAAGAAAGGGGGTCAAAACATCGAACCATGGTTCATACACATCTGATTTCAAATCAGGGTACCATGGATGTCAATAAAAATACGGTGACTTTCTTTGTTCATTTGGTTTTGCTGGCGCTGCATCTCCTGCCAAGATGGGTCCAGCCGATTGTTGATCGAGAATTATCCCTCCTCTTTCCAATACTCTCCATGGGGTAAGTATTGGACATGGGGATGAGATTTTCGCACTATCTTAGTAGACACTCTGTTAGTAGACGGTGGATGCATATCGTGGTGTATCAAGTGCTGCATAGTAGCTGGTGACGGTTATGGTGGAGTGCAGCATGCTCAGGTACGGTCATCAAAAAGTCTAGGTCGCTCGAATCGATACATCCCACACACCGTCATCCACTTTCTAGTCTAGATACCTCACGGACAATCGGACTAGACACAAAGGAGGTTAGTGCCAAAAAGAAATAAAAAAGAGATGATGCCCTACGTATTTCGAGCGGCAGACCCACTCACACATGTTATAATTACTCGACGCCAAAATCAGTAGTGGTAGTCCCCCAACGGCGACTCGACCATCGTAAGTTCGTTCGCCTAAAAGGATTCTGCATCAAGCTAAGCCAGCGTTGTTCTGGACGTTGCAGGATGATGTTATAATTACTTTTTCCTTTTTTTCTTTTCGGCGGCTCGGCCTTCGACAAATCGATGTGGTTGGTAGCTGGTAGGCTGTAACGGGTGGGGACGGACTGCGGGGCAAACATGGTGATTGCTAGCCCGTCGTGCTCTTTACCGGTTCAAAGATCTCCGTCGCGATATTTTGATGGTTATAATGTTGGCTGATATTATTTTAGCGATCGGAGATGATGGGGGCATGACATCGCCATTACATAAGGGTTCATTGTAAATGACAAGATCAAGATCAGAGGCCAAAAGCATACCTTGAAACCCGCACACTGGGAATTAAAGAGGCACATCCATCAACTGCTGCACTCGAGCTTTCCATCCGTGCTCCGTACATAAGGCGGAGAGGGTGTCTTGAGGCACAGACACTTATGCATGCTAAGGAGCTGATCCATCCAGATATCCTTGTAGAAGGCTACTTTGACAAGCTCACTATCCGTAGATAGTTGATCTGTCGGACAAGGATTGTTCTTAGTACGGTCGTTAAGAGCAGCGGCCAACCTGATGTGCATACGGCCCCCAGTTGCCGATCACCACCTGAAGCATGCTAGCCATGATGATTATGGAGTGGGAAGGGAAACGAGCCAGAACGGGTCCCACCCCAGCTGGATGCGTCTTTTTTTGCGTTCTGAAGGTGAGAGGTATGGAGAAACAGAATGCGGCGCAGTGATTGCGCGCTAAATCTCAGAATAGGAGGTTCGAGAAACACATGCTAATACCAGAAGAGAGTTGGAAGCAGCCAGACAACCTTCGCATAACCTGCCTAATAATGGGGATCGAATTTCGTAGGCTGTCGTGTCGTGTTCCTCGACGACCATTGCCATTGGTAGGCAGTAAGTACTTGCGGTAGCGCAAGCGCCGGAGTTCACCTCCGTCTCAAGCGAGCTCAGCTCGACGGGCACCAACCATTACTACGGACTTTACTCCGTAGACCCAGACCGTGGTTCAGTCCACCTGTAGAATGTGAACACTCAGGTTCTTGCTGCTTAGTCTGAAAATAATCAACCTCCTCTCTCCCCCCCAGCCGATCCGATGATATCAAAAGGGAAAATTGGGTGATCCACCCAGGGGTTCTGATTCCCTGTCGGAGTCGGAAACGGAGCCCCCCGTGATTCGGGCTGAAAGTGGCTCCCTTTAGTTTAGTTCCTGTTTTGCGATCTCAGTGGCTCCGCTTTTGTTCCCTGGCACCCAACCTGCCTTTCCTTGGCTCGTTATCGGTTTCAGCTGAGAAACCTTCTGTTCCATCTGCGAGTCCACAGTAACTACAAGGAGACTACGACAAATTCTGCGGATGAGACATGAAGCAACTGGGCCCGACGGGTTCCCCGATGTTGCCGTGCTCCCGATGGAGGGATTGATTCGATTCTAGATTCTTGTTTCATGGGGGTTCGTTCGTTCGATCCCCTTCCGGAGGAAAATACGAGATTTCACCGCCCGGATCGAACCAGTAGTCGGTCCTTCGACAGGTAAACCTTCAGTTCAACTAGTATACTAGAGTTATCTCGACCTGTCGGAGGTGTCGCAGCTCGAACTCAACCTCACACCCATCTCGCATCTAATGGCTCCATACCCACTTTATCTAACCTACACCTACCAAACAAACTTCGAGGACCTGCCTCTCCTCCGACTATCCAGTTAGTCTGCGCACTGGGGCTACCGTACCTAATCTATTCAGAGTTTCCACTCTCTAATCGACACGCCTGAATTTTCCCGAGCACGGCCTCCCGATAGGTCCCGTTCAGGGAAGCCGCTTGTTGGACCACCCGGTGGTGGTAGTAGGCGATGATTGTGGCGGTCGCGAGGTCTGGTGACTGCAGAGCCTACCATTTGTAGATCAGGCAATTGCTGAGACGAGATGAGTAAAGTTCTACACAAAGAGTCTCACTCATCTCCATCTAACGTATCCATTATTGTTGAGCATCAGGTACGCGGAGCACCATTACCCGTCAGTCCTGGATTCGTAACCCTCCGGTCGTCACATCGCCCGGCTCCGGGCCCCAATCGTTCGCCAAAGCTTCGCTCCGCTCTTTCCCCTCTTCTGTACCTGCTTAGGTTCCATCGCAAGCTCGGTGCGACTTACTTGGGCCAAAGTCTCGAGTCTTGATAATGGTCGTTCAAGTGTGTCTAACGTCGCAGTATCCGTACTACTTCCCTACCCGTGGTAGTTCTGAAATTGTCCTTTTCTAGAGCAACTATTTTACCAAAGCCTGGTAATATCTTCCGGGACTGAGGATAGAAGGCCAATCAGAAGAAACAAGCCCTGTCTTCAAGAGAATAACAAAAAGAGGGGACAGGATCTGAAATGAAGCCTAGAAACCAAAAAGAAAATCATAATATGAGCAAAGTGAAACAGGAAAGAACCATGAAATGAAGAGCGAGAAGGCGGAGACCAGGAAAGCGACCGGGGGGGGGAGAGTCACGGAACTTGTGTGAACGCGGACTTTAGCACCCTGCATCGATCACAACGAGTAATACCAATGACAGGGAGTTAGGAGGTCTGACACCGTTGCTTGCGTTCAGCCCAAGGACTCCACCAACCCGACGCTAAAGGCAGCTAAGGTGGTGAGCATGCCACACACATGGCCTCCTGGAGGGTAAGATTTGCGACTGGGCGGCGCAGCAACTCAGCGTTTGCGAACTTGCCCAAAAGAGGGAGAGCGTGGATTACGACGACCTTTTCCACTATCCCCCGTCTGGCAAGTCTCCTGTGTCCCTTTTCGGTTCCCTGAAGGAGAAGACAAACCCAGCTACCCACTCAGTAATCTTAGTATTCCTGCGATGGCGTCAATGATATGTTATGGCCCGAACCGACGGGCTAACGGTGGATTGAGTGGATGGAGGATGAGGAGAAGCCGGAGCAGCAATATGTTGGAGAGACCAGAGCTGAGTCTGGAGCTCCCCACAAGCTACACCAGACCCGAATCCGACCCCTCCTTTGTTGGTTCTCCACGTACTCCGTGCTCGACAACTAACTAGTCCAGTCCCCCTTCAATTACTACGCCGCACAGAGATGGTAGTTCACCACTGTCGCCATCGGACAAAAGGCGTCCCAACAGTTGCAGTCTGGCTGCAGCAAAGTACACGGCATGCTTATTTTAGCTCCTGCACGTCGAGGGAGTGGTAAACCTTCCCATTGTTGGTGCCGCTGGTGCTGCGGACACAGCATCGGCCGGTCCCCCTTTTTAAACATATCATCCGAGACAACCATGACGGGAGGTCTTCTGTGCCGTCCGATTCAAACTTCACATGGGAGTGGGAGCACGAGGACATTCTTATGCTTTTCTCGAACGGGAAAAGAACAGCGGAAACCCCATTTTCTGGCGGGCATGGGCCAGAAGAATTGCGCTGTAACAGTGTGGCTGGAAAAAGGAAGTAACTTAACTTATCTGGCCAGTTTGCTTTAGTTTGCTCTCCGGGAGGCTAGAATCGTCGAAGCACCACTTTCTTTGATTTCACTCCCCATCCCACCCAATCGCCAAGTCCCACTAACGGTGGAGCTGCCGTCTGATTGCACGGAAGCCTCAGTGGAGCTGTCCCGTGAATTCTGGCAGGCTGACTGAATGAGCGTCCCGGCTGAGAATATGGAGAGAGACAGAGAGACAGAGAGAGAGAGAGAGAGAGAGAGAGAGAAAGAGAGAAAGAAACCTTGGGCCGCGCCCCATCAATGAGAATCAAATCATGACCCTTCCTTACAATAATAAAGTGGTGTTGTGGCCACGGCCCCGTCGGCCCATCCGGGGCGTACCGGCTCCTCCTGACCTTGGTCACCGCACTTGGCTTCAAGGATGAATTCGATCGCCCAAGGGTAGGAGTAGGTTCATCACCTCTCAAGGTATGAAGGTGTCTTGGGAAGCATGATGCAGGAAGCTAGTCGCCGGGAAGCGGCAGGATCAGGAGCCCACCGAAGTGCCAATGATTGATCGGCCGCTTTCCAGCCCAAGAGCTGGGGTTACACCGTCATTACCCTCCTTTCAGCGGCATCATCAGCAGCAACATCATCCGCATGGGAAGGGTGAGTAATAACTCATTCGACCGGACACCGTTAGGCTGTCTCAAGTTTATTTGAACCGGGCCGATGAGGGATGGATAGGATTGGACGGTTAGTGACAGCATCAACTCGCAAACTACCAAACCCTCGTCATCCCGAAGAGAGCAAAGGAAAAAAGACTACGATAAAAACAACCATAAAGGAAATATAGGGAAAAAGCAATCAACCAAATTCGAATTTGTTGGGGCGTACGGAATACCTCAAATTTCACTGGTCTTTGTGTGTATGTGTGTAGTTGATCTTGATTGATGGGGGGCCTCGGGAGGGGTGCCATTCGTTGAGTGGCGCCTCTGAGATGTGGAAACAAGGCTGACAGCAGCAAGTCAGATCGGTCGTTCTCATACCGGAATGTAACCAGATCGAGTCGCGTATTCCGTAATATTGACTGGATGTCCCGCGAACGATGAAAAACAGGCAGGCAGATGGGGCTAAAATCCTCGGAGAGGAAACATATGGCAAATCAAATGGACAGATTGGGCTTGTGAAAAAGGTAATAGGATAAGAAAATCGACAATAGGCCGCAATTTAACTGAACCGGAATTATTCAACAGGTAAGAAGAGGATGTCAAACAAACTGCCTGGAACATTTTGACCCATATCAGCAAACACAAACAATGGCAACAACGACAATAACGTCCTCCATGACAGGATCATCAGCACTATCGCGGGATCAATTGATGGCTAGAGCTGTGGTGACTGGGCCGATCCATCGAGCCAGCGTCACAGGCCATGTCTACTAAGTGGAGTTGGGCTGGGCTGTTCAGGGCATGGCGGTTGTGGTTTGTCAATCCACAGTGCCATTTCAGCAGCTCATTATCAATAATGATCACCATTGTGAGCTCTAAACTATGACCCTTCAAGCTTGACCGGGGGGTTCGGCCATATCCCAGGCAGCGACTCGTGTGGGTGGGAATCAAGCTCTGAACCAGTGGTACCTGGATTGAATCTCTGAGAGATCCCACTTCGACGGTGGACTCGACCAAGTGGTTCTCTCAAACCTATCATATCCAGTTATTTATCGAAGACGAGAATTATACTCCGTATGTATACAAGATGTTTGGATGATGCCGTGCAATCCGACTACCTACCCATCAAACTAACAACGGCTACTGTACTGTGCCTAATCCTCCCGGCGCCAATCTTCATTAATCCAGACCATCCATTTTCTGCCCTCTCTTCCAAACCTAAAAAGACCTGTGTGGGTATTGGAGCCCAACATGCCAATGGGAAATTTTCTTTTTCCATTTTTTTTTTTTTCCCTTATTTTATTTTCCCCTTGCCTTTCCCATTTTCCCTTTTCGTCCATCCAACACTAATCATTATCCTCGACATTGTAAATGCCCTTTTCCCCCTCATGAATTAATTCGGAAATAAATTCGGGGGTTTGTAATATTTTTATCGTACTTGCTGAAACAGCAGGTCAAAGATGACTGGCAAATGACTCAAGATAGCCTTGAATGGGCGAAGTTAATGCAAAGAAGAAAAAGAAAAATTTGTAACGAAAAAAAAAAAAAGAAAGAAGCAAAAAATGAAAATGAATGACAGCTGATTAATAATCCCAGCCAACACGATCTGTCACGGCCATATTGACACTCACCCGGCCGGATGCACACACACCCGCACACCCACTTTGTCTAGGGTGGTGTGGGTGGCAGGTGCTTGCTACCTACTACCAAGTAGGTAAAAGTCGCTGCATGTTCTCCCTCCACTGCTCATGGCTCCTAAGTGGCAGCTTGCAAGCCAGGATTGTCACAGTAATTTCAATTTCATGAGATTATTCCTCGGGCTGTTATAATTAGTCGTCTGCAGCCTGATAGGCGAGAGAATCTATGCGGATTACCACTGACCATAGAGCACTTACTCTCGGTACATACACCGTTCGACAAACGGTTGATCAGTAGATACTACTTCTCCAGAACCACCAACTTCGCCCTTTTTGGCTCACTCTTCTCACTGGCGCATTTGTCTCCGATCCATTTCTGGTCACCACATTCATTTCCAAGTACAAAAACGCAAGCAAAACAACGGAACCTCATCTACTTGCCTTCCTCAAAGTTTTGAGATCGCGACGCTTGGCGGCTGCTTCCGATTCTTTGTCTGCTGTCTTTGTTCTACCTTTCTTTTTCCAACTCTTTAAGCTTTGCCCCATCATCCCTCATACCTCATACCGCTGCTGCTCTGGTTCAGTTGCCAGTCTTGTTGGCCGGTTTTTCCTAGTTGGAACCTCGACGGGCCAAAGGTACGCCTTATTTCCTTGCCAGTCATCCCTACTACCCACGGTTCTTATCGTCAAACAATTCCCGGGGTCGCAGCCATGTCAGTGGTGGCCTACAGGTAAACCGTCATCCGCTGCATCTGGTTATTTCTTTTTTTTTGCGAAGAAAAGTCCCCTACTGTATGCCGTACTCGGCGTCTACTGGCCCTCTCCCTCTCCCCCCCTCTCACTCTCTCCTCCCCAAGCATTCTACAGTTTTTACCCCATTGATTATGTGATTTTACTTTTGCCACCATTAAATCTTGGATTTGAGTCTGTCACTGCATGCTGCAAATCATCCCCCCGAAGACAGTTCATCGAGTCAGCCGTCTCTTTCATTCTCTCAATTGCGCCTGTCTGTCGTCAGGAGTCACTCTGTTCGAGTCAATTCTCTTCAGAGACCCTTCGAAGTGTCGCATTCGCGTTTGGCTCCTGCGTCCTGCATCCATCCTGGTCAATATTACACCACCTTCCCGCTAGTTACAAGCTCATCCTGATATCCCCACTAGTCAGTGCATCCCTCTGACGCTGTCCTGCCCTCCGTCACTGTCTGTTTTCTTCCCTATTTCTTCTTTAGTTTTTTATTTCCCTTTATTTCCTACCCTTAATCTTTTTCATTTAATTCTTTTTTTATTTTTAATTTCATTCTCTTCCACCCCCCTTCTCCCTGCTTTAATTTATTTCTTCCAGACTTCTTCATCTCCCCCCATACCTGTTCCGGAATAGCTAGCTGGTGGACAACTCCTCTGACTGAAGGATGGGTCTCCAGCGCAGCTAAATAACGACCCTGGACCCTCCACATTACACTTGCACTCGCATTGCACCGTTTATCCAGGCCCATCATTACCAGGCCCCCTTCCTTTCCATCTCCCCCCCTCCCTCCCCTCCCCCAGTTCAGAACCACACGGACCAACGAGCCACTACCGTTACCCTTCAGCCTCTCATTAGCTTTCCTTTTCATAAGCTCTCCTCTAGTCTAGTCTAGATATCCCTTCCACTCCCGTTTCTGGGCCACCCCCTCCGGACTATCTTCTTACGCGCATCCTTTTTTCTCTCCCGCACCCAAGCTGAACTTTGTTTTATGTCTCTTCTCTAGACTCCCCTTATATATGAGCTGAAGCCATTGAAGGACGGAAGCAACTGGAAACAAGAAAAATAAAAAAGGAATACCATCCCAGACCATTCGAGGTCAGTCATGACCGGCATGGTTCAGACTGACCTAGCTCATCCACCTGCACCAAAGTACAAGGACGAGCCCGTGGAAGATCCTGTGAGTGTATTCTCACTTCTTGAGTGCTAGAACCGTGCTTTTTTACTTGTGATATTGTTCTTTTCTTTTCTTTTCCAATATTTTCTTTTTTTTCCCCCCCCCTCTCCGACCTTCCCTATCTTTGTCTTTTGCCTCTCATGCCTGCATCGATCCATGCCTTTGTCTTCATCCAAGGACAACCCGACCGACTTCGCATGAATGCTACTGGGGAGAACCCGGGAGTATGTGAACCTTCGATCCTGGGTAGAGCATGTTTCCCTGCTCGATGAGACCGTATACGATAATCTGGCCGGGTCGCCTGCTTCCACCGCAATGACGTTTCCCGCAATGCTCCAATAGTCAATGCACGGACGCCTTGTCTTCCGATATCCGTCGAACACCCCGTGGTCTCATCCTCGACAATCGGAAGATTCTTCAACGCCCTACGATACTAGAGCCGCCAATGGGGCCGGAGAGTCCCTTGAGCGCGGGTCATGTCCACCTCTGTCACGCTCTCTAGCCGCGCCTGCAGAAAGTCATCGCTGACTCGGCTTTGACTGTTTGACCAAACTATGAATCTGATTCGGACCCCACGTGTCTTCTTCCCTTACGCGTTCCCTTGGAGGCGATAAAGGGGAATGATTTTTGTTGCCTGAAGACACAGATCATCAGCGAAATGGACATCATATCCACCGGGGCTTTAAGGGGCGCGGATAGGTCCACAGTTGCCAACTGCTACCAACGATGCTTGCCTGTGACATGTGCTTCCCTTATTGCCTGTATGCGGCCATATACGCATCAAGCTGCCTTCTACAGACGTTCGACTACACGTGTGTGTCTGGGGTTCTACCATGCTTATGGAATAAGCAACTCCCTCTGATTTGTGTTCCCAAGTGCAGTTTCTGATCCAACTACATTGTTTCATGTCTTTCACATACTTTCTGAGGATTTTCATTGAGCATATCACAAGCAGCAAAAGATCCAGCCCCGGGTTCTGAAACTTGTTTTGAGAAGCATACGGGTTCCAGCGCTAACACTCATTTGATCTCAGCATCGCCATCCCGGCCCACAACCGCCGCATCTTCAGCATCCTAGACCAACTCTGCTGGTCCAGCCGCAGAAACAACCGGAATCGCCACATCAACCATCAACTACCCTACCCTCTGGTTCATACGCACCTCACGGCTTAGGAAACGGAGTCATACATCACCCGAACTCCTACGGTCCGCCATCAGAGCAATCGTACTATTCATCCCATTCATCTTATAGTACAGCAAGTGCACCCAGTCAGTACTCGTCAAGCGGTAAGTGAGGTGTAATGGTGTCCACAGCAGCAGCGACAACAAAATATGCTCTAAAGGTTGCACTGGTGTGTCCAAGCCACAAAGGCTGATTTATTGTTAGGACCGCCAGAGATGATGGCTACAGCAACGCAAATGCAGCGGCCATATCCCCCGATTTACCATACGCCCCAATCCAGCTCGCCTGCATCAGTAGCTTCCCAAACACATGAACAGCATAATCGCGGCATATACACACAATCGCCTCAGATGACCTCGCAAATGTATGGCTATCCGCCATACTCGCCCATGAACCCAGTGCAGCCTCCACCCTACGGACCGAATACGTCTCCGCAACAGCATCCTCTTACGACTCAACCATTGATGGTGCCCCATCCGACAAGCACCGCGCAGCTACCACACCATCCAGCTCAGGCCCCAACGGGGAACTTGTCAAGTAGTCCTAATTCAGCGGGGGCACAACAGCCTACGCCCCCTCAGAGAACGATGCTAAACCCCCCTCACTCGGCAGCTAGTGGTGCGCCTTTATCGGCAAGTGCTGTTCATCATCAAAATTCCAATGTCGGGGCCAGCTCTAGTGCGGCACCAGGACCAATTCCTGCTACCACCCCCCTGGTCGTCCGACAAGATAGCAATGGTGTCCAGTGGATCGCCTTTGAGTACTCCCGGGACCGTGTAAAGATGGAGTACACAATCCGCTGTGATGTTGAGTCTGTGAACGTGGATAATCTAAGCCAGGAATTCAAGACTGAGAACTGCGTTTATCCTCGAGCCTGCTGCAGCAAGGACCAGTACAGAGGCAATCGGCTGGTATACGAGACTGAATGTAATGCTGTTGGGTGGGCTTTGGCGGAGCTAAACCCGGCGCTGAGAGGCAAGCGTGGGCTGATTCAGCGGGCAGTGGATAGCTGGAGGAATAGCAACCAGGACCCTCGACTCCGGAGCCGGCGTGTGAGAAGAATGGCCAAGATTAACAAGCGGCAGGGGATGCCTGTGCCTCCGCCTCATATGGCTCCTTCAACACCTGTTGGCCCTGGGATGACAAGTGCTAGTATGCCGGCCCCCGGCCCCCGTCCCAGCCTAGGGCCATTGCCCATGGGGCCCCCTCAGCTACATCACCACCATGCTCAGCCAGAAGGAAGTGCAGGCCACGAAGAAGCTAGCGGTATGTTCCACCACGCATGATGTGCTTGTCTGACACTGTTTGAATGAATCGACGGTGCTCATGTCGGTTTGTTTTGTATTGTTCGATGTTTTTGCCATGTCTACGTAGGCAGATCGCCACCGAACGGACGTGAATTTGGTGTGCTTTCTACCAAGAGATATGGATACCGTACCCCATGTATTTCTATTTGGTCTGGAGAGGCTCTTGTCGTTTTGCTGCTTGTTGTTTCGCCCATACCCGGTTTATGTTTCGCCTGTTATGCTACGTTGACGCTGTACCCCGCTGTGCTTTCAAACATGACGTGCCACCTACAGTTTTGCGTAGGCTAATTTATATATTGTCCTATCATACATAATAGGTACCACTGACTATGCGAACGGTACCAGTCGTCCACCCGTCTCGGATGGTCTTCAACCCGGACCATCGCCGACGGACATCCGCACGGCGCAGGTGTTCCATGGCTACCCTTCCTATCCGACTCCCGCGACTGCCTCGGGGGGACCAAGGGGTCCCTCAATACCGCCACTTATCCGAGATAGTGGCATTGGGTCTCTCGGGCGCCATCCGACCATTGCGACCTCCTCGAACCGGATCGAAGAAGTGGACGATGACGATGACGAGCGCAATCCAAGCAGCGACGCGCTGTTTGGCACACTTCCCGAGGGCAAGCGCCGCAAGTTCATCCTGGTGGATGATAACCAGCGGGGTTGTCGCGTGCGTGTCAAGGTCATGTTGGACCAGGTTGACATGGACGAGATTCCAGACTCCTACCGGATGTCTAATGCAATATACCCCCGGACATACTTCCCTGTTCAGATGAGGGACCCGGGCCGGGTCGTGCCCGGAAACCGATATATCAAGGACCACATTGGGGCGGATGAGGGTGACGATGCAGATGACGATGACAGCCCGACCGTGGGGAGGGTCATGGTTCCTGCACCACAGATTGATGGTGAAGGAGAGATTGCGGTTCCCCGGCTATCCCGGGGACGACGCAGAAGAGAGGTGCTCTTGAACGACCTAGGCTACCGAATGAGTTGGAGCCAAAGTCGAGTGTTTGCGGGGCGAATGCTGTTCCTGCAGCGATCTCGTGCGTGATCTTCCCTCCTCCTACATCCCTTGCGTCGCCTGCATGTTGGCCATGCAGTCCCCACCTCGGCGACGGAAGGCATACCGTGATTGTGACTAATCTTTGACCCGTGCCGGGAATGTAGTTGACGCGTACCGAAATAAGATGCGCAGTACGATGCTGGCGGCCGGCCAAGATCCGACATCCATTCCCCGGCATTTCGAGACCCGGGCTGGAAAACGACGATTCCTTGAGCGTAGGCGACGGGCAGCGGGAGGCCCGACTCGGGGTGCCGGTGCACATGGGGTATCTGCCTCGCAGCGCAGTGCTGAAGAGGTCGAGGCTTGACCCATGCACTTGGAACTCTCATCTTCTCCTTCTATTTTTATTCAGTGCTACCGTATCCCTGATCGTTGTCTTAGGGAGATGTTTACTTGATCTTGTCACTCGTTTATTTGTCCCAGTTCGCCTGATCCTTCTGCCGGGTTGTCCCTCAAGGCTATGCTGATGGGACCGACAGCGATCATGGGCCGCTATGTAAAGTAATAGATATTGGGAGGGAGTCCAAGAAGGGGGACGGGGATATGGCGGTCTGATGGATCGGGCGTTGGATTTCGATGATTTCGATGATTTTTGTTGTTCTTGACATGATTATGATGATTTGACGGCTGCCCTTACTACGAAAACAATATGATGAATGATGTGATGAAACTTTGAATGTGAATGATGGTAATGTGTTTTTTTTCCTTTTCTTTCCACTTTTCTCTTGGGTGTCAAAATGAAACCCCGAAAGAATACGGGACCAGGCAAGGTTAATTGGTTCGTCTGCCGCATTCAGTGCATCTGGGCGGGCACTGTGCAACCCCGATTCCGATTAGGTCGGAGCGGCAGTGGACCAACCGGGGAAAGACCCTGACCCGATGCGGCTTAGTGGCTGCTGGACCCTGGCGTTTAGTACGACGTTTGGCTTCCCATTTCAGGGCACAGTTACATACACTCCATACAGCCATACACCATACAGTGCTACTTGCAGTCTAGTGGTTGTCGGGGTCACCGCCGCTCCCCCTCCACGAAAAGTAACCTTCATCCATTAACCTTCTGCTCGTCGCCATGGAAGCTGGTGTGTTTTCTCCACTGCTTCTGTGCCGCATGCAGTCATTCGATCTACTCATTCTTCGAATTCCCTTCATCTACTGCCCACCCGAGTAACGATTATTCACCTTTCTTCCCGGCGTGGTTGTTTCTCTTTCATATCCGCCTTCTCCATCCATCCTTCCACCCCTCACGTCCCGAATCCAAGACACCCCGAAACTTAGTCTAGGATTTGGTTGATTTGGTTTGCATTCAAACTTGATTGAGTTCGTGGCTGCGTTCCTTTCCTCTTCGGTGGTATGCTGACAATTGCGTCGAAAAATAGCCCGTCGCAGTTCACTGGTCCACAACTTCGGCCAACCTTGGGTGACTCCCACGGGATCGTCTGTAAACGAAGGAACCGTGGTTCCGGCGGGCTGTCAGACTTGTTCTTGATTTAGAAGCAACACCCTGCGACCTGGTTGGGGCACCATACTACTACCTGCCTGGAGACCGCTTTTTCTGCCCTTGCCTCGTTCGTTTGGCTGTCTTACTTGGGTCTTGCACGGTGCTCTCTCTTTCTTCCTTTTACTGCTCCTCCTACTACTAGTGACTCTTCCTCATCTATCGCCCTCCTCTTCCTTCGTCGCCAGTTAGCTCACTACCCTATTATTATATCTATTGTGTCTCCTATTGCGATATTTTCCTAACAATCATTCAAAAGAATTCCTCGTCACATGTTTCAGCATGGCCGGCGTGAACCGGTCCTTTAGTTACAGTCGCGGCGACGATGCGTTGTTGAGAGATGATGAGCGAGAGATTTCACCCCTCCGATCCGCAGAAGACGGTCTCTACAGTACATCGTATGGCGACGTCTCTCCGCTATCTGCTGGGGTTCAAGCGCAGAATCGGCCATTCGACCGAGGTCTGGTGTCAGTCCCGGAGGGTCAGACCCTGGAGCGCCACATGACCTCTACGCCGGGGATGGATAATCTAGGGCCGGCCTCTGTGGGTGGCGGAATCAGTGGTATCGCTCTTGGCGTGGCCAATTCTCATAATCGCCAGAGTGGAGTTGACGCTTTTAGGGAAACAGATGTGCCAGTACGCAATCTCCCCGCAGAACGGGATTTCAACACCACCGGCTCCGATAACCCCTATATACCTGCTCCGCCAGATGGAGACATATATCCCAGTTCAGAGGCGGTGAGGTATCGCGACTCTTACAGCTCGCATACCGGGCTTGGTGCTGGCGCGCCTTTTGCCGAACATAGCACGCCGGGCACGACGCCATCCCAACGTAGTTTCTTCGATAGTCCGTACCAAGGCGTGGATGCTGGACCGTACCAGCGGCACTCGGCTTATAGTTCTCACGACTACCCGCTGGTCATCAATCCGGATGACATTGCTGACGACGGCGATGATGGTTTCCCAGTCCACCCGAAGGGAGCAGCGGACTACAGATCGAACGCTAACGTACCTGGTACAGGTGTCGCCGGCGCAGCGGCTGCTGGGGGGTTTCTTGGGAAATTTCGGGCGCTGTTTAAGAGAGAAGAACCTAGTCCCTTCTACGATTCAGACATTGGAGGTGGTCTGGGAGGAGCCGAAAAGGCACAAGGCGGTAGGCACATTATTGGAGGAGGCAGCCGTAAGCGCGGTTGGATTGTTGGGCTCATATTGGCGGCGGTTATCGTGGCAGCTATTGTTGGGGGCGCTGTCGGCGGTATTCTGGGCCATCAGGAACACGACGGTGATACATCGTCGTCGTCATCATCATCATCATCATCAGGCACAGGGTCTGGTGGTTCGGACAAAGGTGATGGGTTGCTTGACAAGGATTCCGACGAGATCAAAGCACTCATGAACAACAAGAACCTCCACAAAGTGTTTCCTGGTGTCGACTATACCCCGTGGGGAGTGCAGTATCCACTGTGCCTCCAATATCCTCCGTCGCAGAATAACGTTACGCGCGACCTGGCGGTGCTTACGCAGTTGACTAATACTATCAGGCTCTACGGCACCGACTGCAATCAGACCGAAATGGTCCTCGAGGCTATTGACCGCTTGCAGTTGACTAATATGAAGCTCTGGCTGGGCGTGTGGATTGATACCAATACAACGACTACGGATCGCCAGATCAGCCAATTGTATAAGATCGTGGAAAATGCGAACGACACCTCTATTTTCAAAGGAGCTATTGTCGGTAATGAAGCCCTCTATCGAGCAGGCTCGGACGTGGCGAGTGCAGAAACGAATCTGATCGGCTACATTAACGATGTCAAAGACCACTTCAAAGACAAGAATATTGACCTCCCAGTGGGCACCTCAGACTTGGGCGACAATTGGAATGCACAGCTAGTCAGCGCGGCCGACTTTGTCATGTCGAACATTCATCCGTTCTTCGGAGGAGTAGAGATTGACGACGCTGCCAGCTGGACATGGACGTTTTGGCAGACGCATGACACCCCACTCACAGCGGGAACGAACAAACAGCAGATCATATCAGAGGTGGGATGGCCGACGGGAGGAGGGAACGACTGTGGGTCCGACAACAAGTGTCAGAATGACAAGCAGGGCGCCGTGGCGGGCATCGATGAGCTGAACCAGTTCCTGTCGGAGTGGGTTTGTCAGGCTTTGGACAATGGTACAGAGTACTTCTGGTATGTTCGCAGATATCCTCATTGGTAAGACTCGGCTAAAACATGCGCAGGTTTGAAGCTTTCGATGAGCCGTGGAAGGTCCAGTACAACACGCCCGGTCAGGAGTGGGAAGACAAATGGGGGCTGATGGACTCGGCTCGCAATCTGAAGCCGGGCGTCAAGATCCCCGATTGTGGCGGCAAGACGATTACGTGAACGCCGATACGTCTCTAGACCTCCTCATGAAAGTGATGATGGATGAAATGTACACAACATATCCGACATACATCATGTGTTATGATGCATTACGACTGATCGATTTCTGCTGTGGTTTCCTTGCGGTGTTAGAGCTTTGTCCTGGGACTTGTATTCTATTGAGCTGGTGCATGGGTCGGCTGCCGTCATTCCTTTGCGCGGCATTCCGACGAGTGTCACGACGCCATTTTACGCGAGGTGGTTTGTGGCGTGTTTGTATATAGCGTGTGATCCACATAGGGCTGACAATACGACCCTTGTTGCAATGAATACCGCAGCGCATAGCGTAGGCTTGTAGTTAGTAGACGACTATCACAGTCATCCACCTTCATGACAACCCACCATATCTAGACGCTACCCCATATCATATACTACTATACCTCACCCTCCCTCTCCAACGGATAATAAACCCGCATATTCCAAAACGCATGCTCCTGCGCCTCAAACAGCGGCACCCTTACCGACCCCCTCCTCTTCACAAACGCACTCACCACCTCGGACTCAACATCCTCCAACGGACCCCCAAACAGAAACGCCGGATCCAGCGCCAGCATTTGCTCCAGATGTGTGCGCTCCGCACCAGGACAGAAGAGGAATGTACGGGACGTGACTTTTTCGAAGGCATGCGGGGACTCAAGGACGGTGATATCGAGGCTAGAGAGGAGGGATGTGTCGAGAGTGTTGAAGACGGGGTCTTGAGCGTAGGTTTTTATTGTTGGAGCTATTGAATTGGAGTGGGTGGTTTAGTTGAAGTGAATTAGAGAGATCATAGGAGGAGGAGGAGGAGGAGGAGGGCCAATACTTACAGGAAGAAAAAGAAGAAGAGATAGAAGCCATAACATCCACCAACGCAGCCAACTGATACAGCGAGACTAGTCGCCGATCGGCCCATCCTCCGCGGAGGAACCCACTCGGACTGCCGAGACCGATGCAGATTATGGAATCTATTCCATTATCATCATTATTCTTCTTCTTAGCATTATTATTATTAATCTCTATTGTTGAATTCGTATTTGTATCTGTTGTATGCGGAAGGATATTGCGTAAAGTCTTCCCCACTACATCGCAGGCGGATGAATCTTTCCACGTTCGTTGGATCTGGGTGAATTGCGATTGAAGGGATTCGAGGGTAGCGGTGGGAGGGGCTTCGGCGGGGTGGAAGAAGATTGATTCTTCTTGTGGTGATTGGGAATGTTGGTTGGTGGTGTTGGTGGTGGTGCGCACACAGCGGCGCGCTTTGCCGCCGGTGGTGACATGCGTCCAGCCGGTAGCGTCGGTGATTTGGAGTCGTTTTTGAGCTTGCGCGGAGTTGTTGGGGTGTTTTTTGCGGGAGCTGTGGGGCATTTTGCTCTTGATTTTCTTTTTTTGTCTTTTGCGTGTTGGGTGAGGGTTGGGTGGAATTAATTGGTGCTAAAGAGGTTTCGGGTGTTGGTGGTGATGGTGGTGGGAGGGAAGATGCATGAATGGTGGAGGAGAAACTTGAACGTGACGGAGGGGGGGAGGGGAGAAGGGCGGGCGGTAAGTGGGTGGGTTTGATTGGTCGGAGGTTGTTGGACATATAAGGCGGCATACTACTTACTTAGTCCGGATCCTTTGTGCTCTCCATTATCTATTTCTACTGTACAATTATTTGCTGGGACTTATCGCATCTGATATGTCTCTATCATGTCCACTGTAGAAGAAGGAAAGCAGATTGCCCAGTCTGTTGACGCTGGGCCACAAGTCAATATCCTTTACTCAGCCCCCGGCTTCGCGGTACCGGATCCAGACAGTACTATCAAAATAATGGTGAACTCCAGCAATACCATTTTCAACTGGGGCGGTGTACAGATAGCGAAGATATCGCCTGAAGTTGTCTTTTTACCTTTGGCTCTCATGTTACACTCAATGAAGCAAAAAGCATGATGTTCGTTGATCAGAATACAGAAACTGTACCAGTGCCTAAGATTTATGCCTATTACTCTTATGGTCCAATTGACCGTGATTTCGGGGACTATGGGAGCTTTTATGATAATTATATATTCATGAGTTTTGTTGAGGGTCAGAGTCTGAATAAGACCTAGGAAACTTATGACAGTGTTACAAAAAGTCGAGTGGCCAACCAGCTAAAAGGGTATTTCGACGAGCTTCGCCAGATCGATCACAGCGGATACATAGGCACCGTTGGCCGAGGCCCGGTTACTGATCCAGTTTTATAGTGACATTACTCACCCATCTATCTCACTGTTGCTGACGCCACTAAGGACCCTTCGACTCGGAAGATGCCTTTGATGAGGCAATCATCAATGCGTATCAATCCAAGGCACCGATACGTCATATCAAAAATGTTTTAGCTGGTATGCTTTCTCAGAAAAGACATAAGACTGTGTTTACTCATGGAGATGTGCGTCTTCCCAACATCATGGGCAATAATGATGGGAACATTGGAATTGTAGACTGGAAGTTCAGTGGTTGGGTTTCGAATACTGGGAATTCGCAAAAGCTCTCGCAGTATGGCAGAGGGCAGAATGATTGGACTGGATATCTGGCACAAACTCCTGAACTGTATTATTTTGAGTATGCGGTGTACTGTTCTTGAGCGAAACACCCTGGTGGTGATACCTGTGGTTTGGTCCGTAAACCTCCTTGAAAACAACTCGGTAAACATGTTAGACAGTAGCTCGTTAGACATGAAGAATGCGATATTGACAGGCAGTGAAGCCTCAATCGATAGAAGTATGAAAGACAATATTGAAAGGATCTCGGACGATCTGGAGTGATAGTGGTAGCTAAGCCCCGACGTTCTTTGTTATGCCAATCTTCATGGCTCGTAAAGGTATTCCTGCGCCTAGATCATGATCCATCTGAAGTTATGCAGTGTGCAATACTAGGCCCCAAAACCAAGTAGGAGGAAGAACAGCGGATAAAGACATTACCTACAGATTCCCCTGTCATGCAAGCTGGATCACGGCGCTTCAGAGAGGACTGAGATGGGTAAACTACACTATGGTGGGGTTGGGCGCTTAGCTAAATGTAAGCATTAACTATGAGCGGCCTGGAAACCAACAATATCAGCGTTAGTTCAGCTCACAATGCAAATCGCATGGTTCCATTTACTGTTGGACATTGAAGAAGCAGTTATCATACAGAACAACGAATGCAAAGTAGCAGCTCTCCAGTTTTTACTGGTATCACAGCATATTTGAGTTAGTTTTGGTGTTTCTCTCATTTGATTGGCTATAGCAAAGTCAAGTTCCCCCAACACCGTCGTCGAGAAATCGGGAGTGATAATGAGAAACAGCGTGAAAGGTTGACAGCCATTAGAAAGTTCTGTAGTAGCGCTGGGACGGGGCAGTACTAGTAGAAGAGGATAGTTAGCTGAGGAGACTGCAACGAGACTGGAGGGTCAGAAGCTGCATGCGATCGTCCCGTCACACTGCGATCACCTCCCCGTCGGCCCCTCTGAGTCGGTCTCTAAGCGCCCTGCCCGGATAGCGCCCGTCGCTCCCCCTCCTCTGCCTCCTCTTGTGCCCTCTCGTGCCCTCTTCCAACCCATGCTCGGCGCTACCATCTGCTGCCTCTCCGCGAATGACAGCCCAGAACTGCTCCCTGTCGCTGTGATGTCTCTTGCAGCCCGCCTCCCTGGTCTCTCCACCCAGCCAATCTGCTTCTTGCAATCCTTCGCGCGCTCCCCCCAGTAGTAGTCTAGTCTGGTCCAGTCCTGCTATCAACTAACTTCTGCCGTTGGAACCGTCACTCATCCCATCCATCCCCAATCGCTGCTGTCCCCTGCGGGAGTTGTCACATCGCGCATTGTGCTGTGACTCGTCCAGATCGCTTGCCTTCCCCGCTATGCCGGTGGCCGTGAGCGCCATTGCAGGAACCGGCCATGGCCTCTTCGTTTCGACTCAAAAAGTCCTGTCAGCCCTCTTCCCGGCCGGCTGCTGGAAGGCTTGGTTTCATGATGATCATTCTTCTTCCTGCAGTGCTGGATCGCTTGCCGTGACTGTGTTCGTATTCCTCTTGATGAGTTGAGGTTGATAGAGGCTATTCCTGTTACATCCTGAACCTCCTCTGGCGCATTCTCTATATCTCCTCTTCTCTTCATCTCCTTTCTCTATTGATCCTTCCACTGGCGCCCTCAGAATGAGATCCTTCAGCGACTCGATATCCCGCTGGACAGCGGCCCTTACCCTCCTCTGGCTGGGCCTGGTCAATGCTCACACCGTCATCACTTACCCCGGATATCGAGGTAACAACCTGCACACCAACGGTACGGTCGAAGAGACCAACGGTTTGGGTGTCGCTTGGAAGAACGGCTCCTATGTCTACCCCTATGGAATGCAATGGATCTATCCCTGTATGTACCTCATCACACCCTTACTGCGTCTAAAAGGTAATCCAATCTGACTGTCATTAGGTGGTGGTATGGCCACCTCCCGCAACCGCACCAAATGGCCCGTCACCGGTGGTGCTGTCGCCGTGCAACCAGGCTGGTTCCGCGGCCATGAGACGGCCTTCGTCTACATCAACATCGGCTGGGGTACCATCCCTCCCAACATGAGTAACCCCATGCTCTCGGTCTTTGAAATCGAAGGTCCCACCAACAACCCTTACCCTGGTACCATCTGTATGCCGCAGGTGCCGCTGCCGGCCAATATGAGTGTGAGCCCGGGTGATAATGCGACGATCCAGGTGGTGTTGGCGGCGAAGCATGGTGCTGCTCTTTACGATGTATGTCTACGGCCACTTCTTCTTCGTCTGCCCTTCGTGTTTGTTTGCATTGGGTATCAATACTGACTGACTGACTTCATAGTGTGTGGACATCACCTTCGCGGAACCTGAAGACGTCGAGGAGGTGACGAAAGACAACTGCTTCAACTCGACGGATATCGCCTTCAAGTATGTCTTTGCTTCGAAGTCGCTGACAACCTCTGGGGCACTGGCGCGGCTAAGTAGTCCCGGATTGACGGCCGCGGTGCCGGTGCTGGTGATGGTGGTGTTCGGACTGTTTATGATGTGATGTGATGATATATTTTGATGTTGTTTTGCTCCATGATCATTTGGCACATACCTACCATACATACCCTTACACTCTCCTTATACCCATGTTCCGTTTGGCTGTGATCCAACGATGATCTGTTTTGCAATGAAGTTGCATGTTTAATGTCCATTGGTGTTATGGTAATTTGGAACTCATTACATAACTATATATCAAATCAATTTCCCAAATACCCCAAAGCCAAAACATCTACGAATTATTCATCTACCAATCACTACACAAACATGATACTATAGTGCGTATATCTCTACAGCCCCCTCACCACCCCCAAAATCACCTCCACCACCTCCTCCGGCTTCTCCTGCGGCGCCCAATGACCCACCCCAGGAATCAACCTCACCTCTCTCAAATCCCCACAACTCGTTCCGTTCCGCATATTCTCCAACGCCCCCGGCTCCTGGTACACCCCCCAATCACTCTCGCCGGAGCAGAACGCACACGGAATCTCAATCCTCCTACCGGCAAACACTTCCCAATCCCAGGTATATTGCCTCCCCGGCGTCGTCCTCACCCGATACCAATTCAACGCGCCCTGGAACCCTGTACGGGCGAACTCTCCAACATATACCGACAACTCCTCATCACTGAGCCACTCTTTACTCCGCGCAACTCCCTGCGCATCAGCCTGCCGCATCATCTCCTCCACCGTCTCCGGCATGCTCAACCCCACCGGCATGATATAATACCCCGGCATTCTGGCTAATTGCTCCCCGGTCCACGAGGAGATAGCTCCCATATTGGAGGGATTATTCCCTTCCCAACATCCACTCTTCAGGTGGAAGTATCCCCGTAAGAAATCGTGGAGGCCCTGAGCGGGATTCTCCATCTCGGGACTTGCGATTTCGGTGGAGTAGTACCATTTGTAGTGTTTCAGGCCGAGGTTTTTGAGGTCGGTTTGTATGTCCCCTTCTTTACTATCATCTTCCTTCTTCTCCTTCTCCTGAGGAATAACAGGCGACGGAACCCCCGGAAACGGATGACTTAGCAGCACCACACTCCGGAACATATCCGGTCTAGCGACAGCACAAAAAGCAGCCGTCACGGCCCCCGCATCATGACCGACTACGCATTCCACGGTGGTGTAGCCCAGTGCATGGACTAAGCTTACCACGTCCCGGACTAAGGAAAGCCCGGTGAATGTGGTGAGGTTCGAGTCGGTGTAGTTGGGGGCATCTCTTTCCCAGCCGGTTGTGCGGCCGAACCCGCGCCCGTCTGGGGCGACGATGTGGTAGTCCGCGCCGGCTTGGGAGGAGAGTTGGGGGAGGACGTGGCGCCAGGAGTAGGCGAGTTCGGGGAAGCCGTGGAGGAGGAGGATGAGTTTGCGGGGGGATGGAGTGGTGGTTGTGGGGGCGTTGGATTCGAGGATGTGGGTGGTTAGGGAGGGGGTTGTTGGGATGAAGCGGGAGGTTATGGATGGGGGGAGGGGGAGGGAGGATGATGGTGATGATGATGATGGCATGGTTTTGGGGGATGATGGTGATGATGGTGATGTTCTTAGATGGGATGTGTAATATAGTCAGTAGGGCGAGTTGGGATGGGGAGTATAAGGTTCAAGGGCAGAGGGGGAAGGGAAGGTTAAGTATATTACCAAGGAGGGGGATCAGATGTTAATTAATGGATGATAACATGGATGATGACCCGAGGTTAATAACTATATACCGACTACGTATTTTGAGGATGATTACTCTTCATGATGGATGTGCAGATAGATGATGGTTCATCAAGATGAAGAGAAAAACAGTTGGGAAGGAAAAGAAGGTATCCATCCGGCTCGGCTCCATGACGCAAGAGCCCAACTTTGTTTCCGACTTTCTGCTTCTTTGGTCAAACTTTACTTTTTCTCCTGTTTGTCCCTCCAACTGCTGCGTCACTCATTCCTGTTCATCGTCTCTTTTTCTTCTTCATCTCCCGGCCTGCATCCGAGCTGCATCTTTATTTCCCTCTCCTGCATTCTCCCTCCCCTCCTTGCTCGTCTCCCCTCGCTAATCTCGCCGCCCTCCTTTCCTGTTCATTTCTCCGCCTCTCGTTCTCTTCCCCCCGTTGCTTTGCTGCCTTTCCCTTCGTGCCCATCAATAAAAATAAACACCTTCCGATCTTCGCATATCAACGCCCGTTCATTGCTTTTCTCTTTCCCTTCATCTCGAATCTACGACGTTTACGATCTACAATAATTTACAATTAATTGCAATTCCGTCTCCCTCCGAACTCGGGCACCGCCTGAGCCATGTTCCGCAGAAAGAGGAGCTCCTCTCAGCATCAGGTGAGTCTCCTATTCCGCTGATCCTCTCGACCTTCATCCATCCTCCATTGACACGCTCAGCATCCCCTCTCTGCTTCCTCCTCACAATCCGCCCAATCCGCCGCCAGCCATGCCTTCCTCAAATCTCAACCCTCCTCCAGCAGCCTGTCCTCCGCCGCCGCTGCCGCCGCCCTCCGCAGTCTCACTCCGACCCCGACCTCCGTCGAGAATGTCCAGACAAAGCGCATGATGCAGCGGAGGGCCTCGGTCTCGTCCCAGGCGAGCGGCGTGCCCAGTCTGCGTCCAACAAGTCGGAATGGCCTTCGTCGCGCCAATAGTTCGGCCTCCATGTCTACCCGTACATTCCGCGACCAGTCGCCGCGACGCCCGGCCTCAAGTTCCGGTCCAGTCGATAATGCGCCGCCGCTCCCTTCCATCCCTCAAGTATACTCCGCACGCAATAATAATGCCCAGCGTTCGGTCAGTGTCGGGCCGTCGCAGCGGCCCAGTCCCCGTGGAAAGGCGCCGGCAGGACGAGGCATGAGCGTTGATCGCGGTTTGGCTACCCAGCCCGCTATGCGCGCGCCAGGCTCGACCCCATCCCCCGAGCTTCGACGACCAGCAAGTCGGAATTCCGTCAATTTCTCCTATCCGATGAACTCTCGGCCAAATTCCCCGGAAGGGTCTCCCAATGCACTGGATAGGCGCGATGCTTCCACGAGCATCTCACTTGCGGGTCA